TTAAACGTACGATTAAAGGTGGACGGTTTGGCGGGCCCAAATCGCCCGGCCCACTTCTTTTAATTCCGCTGGATAATGAGGCTGTATAAATAGATAGAGAATCGTTCTCTGTCTAGGGTTTTTTGACAGAGTATCGAAAATCAAAAGGCGTTCAAGAAAAAGGAACTTCAAGATCTTTCGCTAGCACGTGGATCGTTGGAGAATTCCGTTCGTGTGTGTGGATACCGGTAGAGGCGCAACACTTGGGGCGCTAATCCAGACACAATCGGTTGCCGATTTATCTTCGATCTGCAAAAGGTACGTTTCGAAATTCCTTTTCGATTTCAATATATACATGAATCCTGTCTAGGGTTCTATATTCCGCTGTGTTGTTTTTCGTTGATGAACCCTTCACAAACTCCTTCCGACGTAGCAAAATCTTACGGAAGTGATGGGGGGGACATATTTTCTTCTATCTGTTTCCACAACCACCATTCTTTGCGGCGATTTCCCCTTGTGCACATCCGTTTTTTTTTGCTGCATCTGAGGCTGACCGAGTCGTCCTTCGTTTCAAGTCTACTTGGACCGCAACAATACAATATCTTCATACTTTATCTCAACTTCTCAGTCGAGCACTACGGTCATGTCATCAATACTTTTTAGCGATGCCGAGGACGACGAGAAAAGAAAGGTCGCCGGTTCTGTACTGGTACACGGCTTTCCACACTCATCCAGTCCATCTTAGTGTTCTATGCAGATCATTTATCAGTTCATTCATGGACCCGCATATATCAAATTTTTTGTTAGCATTGCGTACCTATAATACGGCGAGATTGAGCATCAACACCAGGACGTGACCTTTTGGGCCGGACCAAAGCACCAACTCCATTTCGCTGAGAAATGATATTGAATTTCTAGCGATTCTACAGGTGCGAGTTCTGTCTTGCTTTGATTAATTGATTGTATAAATGCATCTTTTTCATACTGTTCCATACATCTTTTCTCATTCGTGGCTTCAATTTCGAACGAGTTTGACTTGACTTGATGAGATGAAACCGAATACAAAAGTTTACAAACAATTTAGGGGAGTTTTGATATCTCCGTGTGGGCTAACCCTTTTTTTTCCTCACAGAAAAGGATGTCCAACCTTGGCAAATTATAAATCGCCTGTAGAATTAAGTAATCACCTAGTGGCTAGCGAACTCCGACAACCCTTGCTAGCCATAGTGAAAAAAGAAAAGAAAAGAAAAGAAGGAAAGAGAATATAAGAAAAAAGAAAAGGAAAAAGAAAATAAAAAATTAATAAAAAATTAAAAAAAATTTGTCCACCCCAGAGCTGACCGGCGTCTACGTTAGCGATTTCCAACTAAAATTGGCCGAGTGGACTTAATTGGTGAAACGTGAAAATATTTAGGAGTAAATTGACATAATTGAAAGATTTGTGACTGAATTGACACAAATGCAATACGTTTAGGACTTTTTTGATGATTATCCCATTTTACACATATACTTCTTGGTGATGATAGAAGGCATGCAAGATTGCCACCTACCCAAATTGGAGGTATATGCCTCTTTGGCCGAGTTAGAGGTAAATTTGGCTCATTCTTACAATTCATACTTACGGTGAGCATTGGGCTTGGTTTAACCTGGAAACTGGACCGAATTGGTTTGGACTGATCGGTCCAAGGCTAGTTCTAGGGAGAATCGGTTTTTAAGCCTCTTTAGAAGAAAATAAAAGTACTCTTGTGACCAAAGTTTACAACGTGCACAAACAATATAATCACTTGACCAACATATATTTTTGTAGTGTAATAATACTACTTTTATATTTAAAACATTTGGTTTTTCACACAAAACATATAATGGATCCATTCCCTTTTATAGGCTGGGAAGCGACTCATCTTGAAATTGATCATTCCTAATGAATTTCATGTTTTAATCTAACTCACATTAGAGCCAATTGTCTCGAGGCTTATATTGTTAGCTCAAATTCGTGCATGAAGGTGATTGACTAAAATTTAATAACAACAAATGAAATTGACCCTCGTAATTTGATCATCTAGCCCCAGTTAACTAGAGATAAACATGGGTCTTCCTTACGAGAAAGAATGTTATGCATCGATTACAGGATTCATGCGCGTCGTGCAACAAGCAACCTGAAGATGACATGCATCTCAACCGAATTCGCATTCGAATACTTTTAAAATTTGCTTCCGATTGGATTACTTTTTCACTCTGGTGCATACATAGCTGATGCACACTGAACAACCTTTTTCTCAAATTGATTTAATCTCACCGTGGGATGCTTCCTTTGACTAGAGCGCACCCATTCCGTCCCGTGAGAAGGGGGAACGCACCTATAATTTCAGTCGAGCTCAACAACAAGACAAAAGAACAGAAGAACCATACATCGATCGTGGAGGGATCTTATGCTATCATATCATGGGCAAATCTCGATATTCATAGAGTATTCGAACATTATTGAACCGCTCCCAACTAGGACCAAGAATGTGAAGGTTCTTTGGACGGAGCGAGATGGATTTCTGTGTATCAAGTATGGGCCTTCTCGGAAGGTGTATCCTTTGGATTGAGATCTTCTAAAATCAGTATTCTCTAAAATTCTCTCTCCCACCGCGCGCCCCCCCCCCCCCCAAGATTTGGACACATCAGCTACCAAGCAGATAGACAAACCGGGATTCTTCGAATTTAGACAAATCGTATTGCTAAACGCGAGATGATGTGATGCGTACATATTAAATGGTCCCTTAATTTTGGTTTAAAGGGCAATGCGATCCTTAAACTTTTAATTTATTCAATATGGTTTCTGAACTTTAGCTCAATGTGCAATGTGATTTTCGAACTTTTAATCTGTTCAATGCAGTCCCTGAACTTTTAGTATATGTTCAATTTACTTCATAGACTTATGAAAATATTCAATGTTGTCACTAATACTGAATTAATGGAAGGACAGTATTGAACATTTTCATATAGTTCATGGACCATATAGAACATTTACAAAAAATTCAGGGATCCCTTCTTTATATTCATTTCACACGTGCTTGATATCTCGACCTCCATTTGACTATGTTCATTAGGCACGGAGTCCACAAAAATCTGCTTTGTTTATAGGGTTTCAGCTTTCGCATGTGAGGCTGACCCTTCCTTCGTTTGAAAGTCTCTCACCCTTCGAAATAGACCACAACAACGTGATTATCTTCATATTTTATCTCGACTTCTTCATTCATGCGCTTCGGCCGCATCGTATCGTCGTACTTGGTGACGCTGAGCACGACAAGAAGACAATGGTTGCTGGTGCAGCTGCTGTACTGGTATGGTATGCCCTCCCGACACTCTTCCCAACCGGCCAACTAAAATAACTCTGGGAGTCCATCTTTGTGTTCTATGCCAATCATTTATCTATAACTTGTTCATGGACTCACGTTCCATCAATACTTCAGCAACGCGTTTCTACAATGATGCGAACTTGAGCAAAGATTGCTTAGAGCCGACATCGGAATTTACGCGGGATAATTGTCCATAATGTCCTAAACCTATTGTACGTCGGTCAATTTAGTCTTAAACTTTTAATTGTGCCAGTTCAGTCCTAAACTTTTTGACGATTTGCAGTTTAGTCCTAAACCTTTCGATTGGGTCGATTTAGTTCTAAACCTTTTGAAAATTTGCCAATTTAGTTCTAGACCTATTATTTGGACAATTGGCTGGGAGAATTATATCGGCAAATTGTTTAAGTGTTTAGGACTAAACTGGCAAATCATCAAAATGTTTATGACTAAATTGGCACAATTGAAATGTTCATGACTAAATTGGCAAATCGTCAAATATTGACGACTAAATTGGCATAATTAAAAGATTTAAGACTGAATTGACAGTTATACAATGGATTTAGGACATTTTAGACAATTTTTCTCGATCGGGTGAGTTCTTTTTGTTTCTCTTTTAACGAGATAAACAACATGAAATGGTAAGGTTCGAGTCAACTACTATTCGAAGTAGTTGTTCGGGAGAATCAATTCACGTTTGCCACAATGACGGTATTGGGATCATGGTATCGGCACACGGATTGGGTTGAAACTATTTAGTACGTCGTACGTCTTTTTTTATTTGTGGCTTGAATATCTACAAACATTGACTTGGCTTATCGAGATGAAACTAAATTAAAAAGTTCACAAACATCAAGGGGAAGTTCAGCAACTTTGTGTGGGCCAACCATTTTCTTTTCCTCACAGAGAAGGACGTCCAACGTTAGCAAATTATAAATTACTTATAGGATTAAGAAATGGTAACCAATCTCATTACACTCTAAACACATATACATTGGTTTTGTCATATAAACTTGTTTAAGACAAACAAAATATGTTAGTTTTTTGGGAAATTACATTTTAAGATTGAATTGGCCGCCGTACAATAAGTTTAGATTTTTTTGGATAATTTTTGTCGACCGGGTGAGTTCTTTTTGTTTCTCTTTTGACGAGATAAATGATGTGAAATGATAATTTTCGAGTCAACTACCGGTTGAAGTAGTTGTTCGGGAGAATCAATTCACGTTTGCCACAATGACTCTATCGGGATCATGGTATTGGCACACAGATTGGGTCGAAACTACTTCGTATGTCATACGTCTTTTTTTTATTTGTGGCTTCAATTTCCACAAACATTGACTTGACTTTTCGAGACGAAACTAAATAAAAAATTTTACAAACATTTAAGGGGACGTTCAGTACCTTTGTGTGGCCTAACCATTTTTTTTTCCTCACAGAAAAGGATGTCCAACGTTAGCAAATCATAAATCATCTGTAGGATTAAGTGATGGTTACCAATCTCATTACACTCTAAATATATATACTTTTGGTTTTGTCATAAAAACTTGTTTAAGACAAACAAAATTTGTTAGTTTTTCGGGAAATTACATTTTTTTGGCCCCGTAGTTCCAATTGGTGTTTGCGAGTGACTGTCTTTCTCATTTTCAGAACACAATGAAAATTTTGAATTACGAGGGGATTCAAACAACTCTCAGATTAGTTCACAAATGATATACCAAAGTTCAAAAGTGATTAAAGTGATATTTGTATGCGGAAGACATAATTCATCCCTCCATAAGTGTGTTTACGTAATTGGTTATTTATTCTAACTATCCATGTCGAGTTTGACACGTATGTACGGGTGCCTCTTTGTGTGCCTGTTGCTGAATGAGAACGTGAGCGTATGTATGAGTGTTTAGGTGCATGGTGTATGTTATGTACGTGCATGCGCCAGAGGAGGTCGCCACAGGGATTGACTTGGTGGCAGTGGCTGTAGAAGTGCCGGCAGGCGGTCTCAACCTCGCTGCGCTCCTCGGCGGTGCTGGCCTCAGGGTCGAACTCCCAAATCTGCCTCCCCACGTAGTTGTTGGTGCGGTACAAGTAGGGACCGTCCTCTCCTTCCGCTATCTTCAACCTCCACATGCTGGTCTTCTCTTTTTCTTTCTTCCTTCCTTCAACTGATTATATCGCTATTCCCCTATACTGTCCTTCCTGATGATTATGCAAATAAAAAAGAAAAACAACCCGCAAAAGAAAATGATGAATGCGTGGCTACAAATCAAAACTCCTCGATGAACAAGATCGCTATATTTTCATGAACTATGCTTGTTTTCTGAGGTTATGTCCCCATATGCATGCACATATGCATTAAAGCTATCGAAACATATCCCGCAGTGATCTTAGTTTTAGCAAAGCGAAAGCATGAACCTATCACACAGACAGACCTATACCTCTTTCGACTGTGAGAGATACCTGAGAGTTAATGAGAAAAGAATCAAGCTCTCTCTCCAAAACCCTAGTGTTGTTGTGACCTTCAGGTGAAGAAAGGGGACCTCTATTTACACCCACCTTTTGGGTCGCTAGCTGCTTCCTACTTTCTTGGTCTCATTTAAAATGGCACTTAGGTTGGCCAAACAAAAGCAAAATAATGCAGATGTATCATCCCGACAAAGAGCCACGCTTTTCCATCTGGTTGGGTGACAATAGCGGAACAGGTACACAAACTTGACCGTGAATCGCTTTCGTCAGCTTTAATCCTCCGGTGCTTCCATGTCAAAGTTGTAATATGATTGGTCTAAGCCCGTTAAGAGTCTGATTGATATAAATGCAATCGTATCGCAACGCGTTCTTAGTAAAAATAAATAAATCGTATGGTACATAACACGTGTATTTGGCAACACGATTTGTAAGATTACTTCGCCTTAAAGGGCTTTGTTTGTTTCACAGGAAATTGAATCTAAGTTAAAAAAACAAATGTAATCACAACCTTTCAAAGTACATCCTCACAAAATTCGACATTATTTTAATGTTATATAAAAATGATGCTGTCATGGATTTTGTTTCGTCAGAATTTATCCAGATGATGAAATAACTTTTATTGAAAGTCGTTCTTTGATTTTTAAAAGAGGAGACATGTTTTATGGTGATTCCAAACATGATATATCACTAGAGCACAAGGAAACCAATAGATATACTTCAACGAAATTTTATCCACGTCAAAGTACACAATATTTTACAGAATTTAATTGATGATAAAACGAGATAACAATAAGATACAACACCGAAATTTAATCGATGACGAGATATCTGGAAACTACAGCTAAGATACACGCCGGAATTTAATCAAGGACAAGATATATGAGATCCACAACTACAACTACTATAAATGAATTGAAAGATAACGGGTTTGTTTGTTTTTAGGGCTACAAAGAGTATGGTGTAGCGGTGGGTTGCTGGGCTAGTCTCCCCCGAGGTATAAGCGCCTCGATTACCTGTGCGAGCTCGTCCTCGGGGAATGGTGGCGGATCCTCGGTTACCAAAAAAAAAAAAAGTATGGTGTGGCTATTTAAAATTTACAATCGACGGTTACAAATGGTTACCAAAAAAGAGATACCTTCGTAACGGCGATTATAAGAAGTTACATTATCTACCAACTCCTATTATCTAAAACACTTATCTATAAAAAGTGACAACAATTAGCGACAATAGAAATAACCACTCAGCGGTTATCCTCGTGTTGATTGCTCGCTTTTGATATCAATGAATTCGTCGATCAACTTCAAGGTTCCTGTCGATAACTTTCACGTTGTGTGTCGTCAATGACTTCACTGGCGAGTTTTCGATTCCCTTCAAGTTATCGATAATTTTGTTCATAGATGGCCAAACTCTGCTTTCATTGACTAAGTTTATCACTTGTTGATAATAAGCAAAAGTTGGTTATTTTTTTGGGTAAGCAGGTTTATACCAATTATATTATGAATGAGTAAAACTTACACACAGAGAGAGGACCATTCAAACGACAAGATTTTATAAAAATGCTGAATCTAACAGATTGAATTGTGTTGCTATTTCCTTATTCAAATCTCCCGTTTAATAAGGGAATATTGAAAAATGAATCAAAACTACGCACCTGTAGAGAGAGAGATATTTTAGGATAGCCATAGTCAATTTTCTTCCCCCAGGATGGTCCTTGGCAAGGACGATGATTTCACGCGTGAAGGAAAAAGTAATTAATGAAGGTGATTCCCAAATTTGCAGATTTTTATTGCATTGGCTCTCTGTTCTTTTAAAATCTATTAACGTGGTTCACGCGACCACGTTACAAGAATGGACAAAGTAATTAATGTGAGGAATCGATTGAGTAGCTAAGCTGTCGGTGCATGTGTCCGGATCGACCGTTCATCATAATTGTGTAAAACTCTTTTCTAAGTTAATCATCGAGACTAATTGAATCGCCTTGCGATATTCTTATTTATTAAACACGTGAGAGGTATGGTCCTAAGTAAGACCTAAAAGTGCTTCGTCTAAACTCTGGGATGTTAAACATCAGGGATACTCCGTAGCGTGAGGGAAGAAAAACTATTTCTTAACGAGGGGGCAAGGCGTGCGGGCACCGACACGTTATGCATCAGTGCAATCCACCGTCCGTATGTTGGCGGACAGGTGGTTGAAGCCCTTGTCAGTAGATTAGGTTACCCCTGCTTTGGTGAGATACTTTGTGTAACCACCACTAAGGATCTAAGGCAGCCTCCTGATTACACAAGAGACTAATTAAATCGACCTTGCAATATTCTTATTTATTAAACACGTGAGAGTTAGGCAAAGGCGATAAGGTCTCCAAAGGTAGGCGAGGAGAGAAATGCTGAAATCGCCATGGGAAGGTGTGCAATTAGTTTTGTTTGTGTTCTACTCAAATGCCCAAGCTATCAAAATCGATTGGCCAATCGCTTGATGATCTTGCTCGATGTTATGCTTGGACGCAAGTATACATGCATTTCCCTTTTCAAACACAACCTCAATTACGCATTAGAGGGACTTTTGAGTTCTTTGGAAGTACGTACTGTACAAAGCATTAAATGGTTTTCCTTATGTTCCTTGAAAAATCTATTTTGACGACACTCGCGTTTTTTCGGTGAGTCGGACAAATGAGTGTCGAACGATTGATTTGAATCAATCTCAAACCTAGTGAACTGAAGCGCACGTACAAACTGGATCCATGCATCGCTTTCATTAGCTTAATTTTTCGGAGCTTCCATATCAATTTGTAAAAGGGAAATGATATCACAAGTGCCACAACTTTCGTACAGTGCTCACTTGAGTGTCATAATTTTTTTTTATCGATTATCTGAGTTTCATGAATTCTAAGAAAACTTCATGTTATAGCTTTTTAAAAACGTTCACTCAACTGCCATAGCTTTTAAGCTTGTTAAGAGTTTGTTTGGCATAGATGTAATGGTATTGTAACATGTTCTTAGTATAAATAAATAACTAAAATGCGACATTCAATCGCTCTCATAGTCCTGTTATGATGGTTTCACTTTCGTGGATTCCTAATTTTGACATAAATACTGCGTTAAAAAAATCGTGAAACTTCGCATTTAAACTCTCTATTTAAACTCTCTGACAAACACGCACACTCTCACACCCAAATGTATTTTTAATTGACTTTGTACGCGGGTGATGTGTAAATTTGTGGCTCACCAATTAGAGATCTTTTCCTCAATTAGGGACGGAGGAAAATATAATCCTATTCAAAGAGAGTATTATGAATATAATCCTCGATCTCTAGTTGTTCAACAACAACAATACATGAAGGTCAAGGAAAAGAAGCTTTCTGGATGTTTAAAATTGATGCGTTAGATTATGAATGACCATTAAAAAGACCGGCCCGTACACGACACCTGAATTAAAATCTTGCTAAACATCCTTAATATACTAATTTTACAGAAACTCATCTTAACATATTATCTTAATGTTGAGAATATGTCTCAAGTTTTAGACCACGAACCAAACCTAATCCTCCTTTTGGATTGCTTTAGAGTGTAATTCATGAAGAAGACCCACTTTTCGTATAGAAAATAGGAAACATGCTCAAACGCAAAAAAAAAAAAGTGTGAAATTTTTCATGAATTGTATCCAAGAGATAGCTTCTCGTAAATTACATTATGAAGCAATCCAAAAGGAGTATCTACATCATTTGATGCCGTGAAAATCTTGTGTTAAGATTTTGTGTAATTTTTTTGTGAGATTGGAAGATTGTTTCCGAGAAATTTTGAGGACTAAAACTATGTGAGTTTATTATGCTTAAATTAGGCCAAATTCCAAAAAAAACCCCAAACTTTACACTTTGTCCCAATTATACCCTGAACTTTTTTTTGTCTCAAGAAAAACCTCAAACTTTTCTCTGAGTCCCAAATCTACCCTACCGTTATAACTCCGTCCAATTAATGTCGGAAAAAAAAAAAAAAAAAGAAGGCGGCAGTGCGCATGGCCAAGCCTTCGCGGTGGCCGCCGCCATGATCGCCGGGAAGGAGCGGCGGCCCTCGCTGGGCCTTCCCGAAGGCGGAGACCTCGCCGACCCGGGCGAGTCGCCGCGAGGCCTCCGGCCCCGATCTCGGGGCGAGGGTCGCGCCTCGCCCCGGACGGGAGCGGAGGCCCTCGCCGAGCCGACTCGCCCCGGGTCTGGTCGAGGTCGCCGGCCGGGAAGGCCCAGGCGAGGGCCGCCGACCTCGTGGCGAGGCCTCGCCTCGGGCCTCCCGGGCGTCGGCGACCCTCGGCCGGCGAGGGATCGCAGCCCCGATCAGAGGGCGAGGGTCGCGCCCTCCCCGGATCGGGCCCGCGAGCCCTCGTCGGCGAGCTCGCCCGAGGCCGGCGGCAGGGTCGCCGGCCTGTCCGGGAAGGCCCAGGCGAGGGCCGCCGACCCCAGGCGAGGCCTCACTGGGCCTCTGAAGGCCGGCGACCCTCACGCGGCCCGGGCGAATCGCCGGTGAGGGCTGCGTGTGCCCGATCTGCGGGAGGCGCGAACCTCGCCTGTGATCGGGCCGCAGGCCCTCGCCGGCGACTCGCCCGGGGCCGGCGAGGGTCGCCGGCCTTCGGGAAGGCCCAGGCGAGGGTCGCCGGCCTTCGGGAAGGCCCAGGCGAGGGTCGCCGCTCCTTCCCGGTGGTTGTGGCGGCGGCCACCGGCGAAGGCTTGGCCACGCCGCACGCTGCTGTTCCGGTTTTTTTTTTTTTTTTTTTTTTTTTTTTTCTGACGTTAATTGAACATAGTTATAACGGTAAGGTAGATTTGGGACTCGGAGAAAAGTTTGAGGTTTTTTTTGAGACAAAAAAAAGTTCAGGGTATAATTGGGACAAAGTGTAAGGTTTGGGATTTTTTTTGGAATTAGGCCGCTTAAATTAGGGGCTGGGAAACATTAAGAGTGTTTGGTGATTCGAGTGTGGTTATAATATTCGTTATATCGTTTGATTGTGGAATCTCATGCTACTCTCCCTACGGAGTAGGTCCTACTGACCAAACCACGAAAATCAAATATTCGATTTATTATT